ATTTCATTAATGTGGAGAACTAATGACAACAGAGGCCCTGTTTACACTTGGTATTAAGATGCGTTTTGGTCAACAAGAGGACAAAGCTAAATACAAGTGTAAATGGGGTGTATGGTTTCTCACTAAAGCTAAGCAGTCTAAGTGGTTTAGTCCAAATTTTCTGTTTATGTTCCCTGATCAATGTTTAACTGTTAAAAAAATCAATCTGTTCATTGTATAAAGCGATCAAGTCTCTTCTGAAAATTTGGACTAAACCGCTCGATTAATTTGGATTAGTTTTATGATCTCTTTATGAACTTCTTGAAGCATCAAAGTGGTAGTTGTGTAGACTGTCGGTGGGAGGACAGAAATCTCTCAGGTTTCATTTAAAATTTCTTCGTTTGTGTTTTGAAAATGAATGAAAGTCTTGCAGGTTTGGAGTGACAGAGAGTGAGAAATGATGACAATTTTTACCCCCTGCTGGCTGGAGTAAAACTAAATGCAGCAGCAGAGAAGCTTTTTTCAAAGAGTCTACCATCCACACATGGACCAGGCTCTGGCCTGCTTAGCTTTATTAAGTAACCAGACTCGGGGTACTGCATGCAAAAGGTGCATTTGAACTCCGTGTGTTGATAAAGCTGTTCTAATAGAGGGGTAGCGCATCCTGACAAGCTCAATGCGGCCATCAGGATGCGTTACCATCTTAAACAATGAGGTTTATTTCATTAATGTGGAGAACTAATGACAACAGAGGCCCTGTTTACACTTGGTATTAAGATGCGTTTTGGTCAACAAGAGGACAAAGCTAAATACAAGTGTAAATGGGGTGTATGGTTTCTCACTAAAGCTAAGCAGTCCAGAGCCTGGTCCCTATGTGAATGGTAGACCCTTTGAAAAAAGCTTCTCTGCTGTAGCATTTAGTTTTATTCCAGCCAGCAGGGGGCACTCATTCCCTGACATGTATGGGTGCAAAAGTCCTATAACAACGATTCAGACTTCAGACTGCAAAAATAATCAACCTTTTGATGAAGCGTTAAACCGGCCCCTTTAAAAAGGAGTGTCCTTCAGATGAGGCATTAAACTGGCCTCATGACATTCTTTTGTCATTAGTTCCCCACCTTAATCAAAAACTTGACCTCATTGTTTACAGTTTATTGTTTACACAGTAAAATGAAAAATAACACACAGTGAGTGAACCTTACACTCAAAGAGCAAAACCTCAGCCCAAATCTGCACAACTATAAGCACATTCTCAGCCTCACACTTTTTGCAAAACACTACACATTGTTTTGCAAGACACTAAACACACTTCTCTATATTAGACACAGAAATCTAACATAATGTCACTTCTTTGCCATTTTAAGGCGCTGCTTTCCAAAATACTAGACATATGAACCTATTGATCAATCTCGGCCATCAGGTGTTCAAGACACTTAGGTGCTTAAACTGTAAACTCAACAATCAAGGTGTAAGCACTATAAAAAGGCTACAGGTGAATTTTTGTCTTCAACAAAAAACAAAGGCAGTGGTGCAGGAAGAGGAAGAGGAAGAGGAATAGGAGAAACATCTTTGGCCACAGAGCTATTTTGAATGTCCCGGGTCAACGTGGTGGTAACATCCTTATAACACCGACCACATACTCACATTTTTGGACAGACTAAGTATTGTACAGACTGGGTATCTGGTTCCATTATTCCAGTACCTCCCACAACGCTCTCCCTTCCTTTCCTTTTTCCCTTTTGCATGGCAGTGGAAGGTTTATGACCTCCGACCCTTTGTTATACCCCTCAGTCAAGCTATGGAGAAGGCCTGTGACCTACAGTTTTTTACAATCATTTTAGCACTAATAACAGAAACTTTGTGTCATTTTTCAAAACTCTAGAGACATAATTCACAACCGATGACAAAATGCATTTCATTTCATCAACACTTTTTCCAAATGCTTGGATACAATACACATGAACCAATCACTGGTTCAAAATGACACAACTTAACATCAAAGTATTACTATTTCAAAATGCAACTCACGCATTACATCTGAATTGAGTGTCTATTCATTTCATTACAATGATCTAACTATCAATTGATACAACTGTTCAAAATGCTACATAACTGTTGCATTACTCTTGAAGCGTAGTTTTTATGGAAATGATGAACAATATTAAATGTTTAGATTATGAAAGTGAAGCAACTGAGGACAGAGTATGTTCAGGTATGATCAGTTTCAAGATGCCTGTTGTTGGGAGAAAAAATAAATCACCAAAAATTGTTTTTCCTATAATAAATGTCTTTTTAGAGGGTAATAGAGCTGGAAGCTGATAAAAACCATTCATATTTTTGTATGAGGCAGGTTTTAACCTGGTCATGACATGGAGGAGAGTTTGAGAGCCCCAGCGGTTGAGAGTGGCCCAGAACAATGTTCGCTGGGCGGCCTGACCACCCCTGACTGAATGTGATTTTGTCGTGAAATCAGTGCAATGGGCCCAGAATTCCTAGCAACCGAGTGCAATCATGGTTTCACACCCATCCACAGTTTATCACCTTGTATTTATCCCCACAATACCCTTTCCTTACTGTAACCCGACTGAATAATTTTTCTCCACATGGAGGTGGAAGGGTCACAGGCACCCTCACAAACAAGTCACTCTTCTCCAGGCCAGATGACTTTGCATCTAAAGTAAAAAAAAACCTGTTGTGAGTTGATTATTTCATCAATAATTAAAAATTTTTGTTTAATGTTTCCAGTGTCTGTACTTTTCTCTCTAGTCTATTATAATGATCTATGAATGTGTAGAACCATAATGAAAGCTGTTTCATGTGTTTTGAACAACTATATTGAGCGGTTGAGAGTGGCCCAGAACAATGTTCGCTGGGCGGCCTGACCACCCCTGACTGAATGTGATTTTGTCGTGAAATCAGTGCAATGGGCCCAGAATTCCTAGCAACCGAGTGCAATCATGGTTTCACACCCATCCACAGTTTATCACCTTGTATTTATCCCCACAATACCCTTTCCTTACTGTAACCCGACTGAATAATTTTTCTCCACATGGAGGTGGAAGGGTCACAGGCACCCCTCACAAACAAGTCACTCTTCTCCAGGCCAGATGACTTTGCATCTAAAGTAAAAAAAAACCTGTTGTGAGTTGATTATTTCATCAATAATTTAAAATTTTTGTTTAATGTTTCCAGTGTCTGTACTTTTCTCTCTAGTCTATTATAATGATCTATGAATGTGTAGAACCATAATGAAAGCTGTTTCATGTGTTTTGAACAACTATATTTAATGATTGTACTAAAACTACAGAGTGAAACTGGGTATCTTGTGTGTGGGTGATCTAAAGTAATGTTCCTATCATATTTCATAATAAATGAGTTTTTTGATCCAATGCTTCTGCAAATGCAAGGCTTCTTTAGAGATATGAATGCAATATGCAAAGTTTTGAACATTGGACAGTCTTACAAATAATGACTGTTTTGAGTTTTGTGTCTAAAGTTTTGAAAAATGACATGAAGGTTCTGGTATTTGCGCAAAAACGATTGTAAAAAACTGTAATAGATGAGGCATTAAACTGGCCTCCTGACATTCTGTTGTAGTTAATTCCCCACCTTAATCGTGAATTCATTGTTTAACTAGCCGTCCTGCTTATAACACAGTAATCGCAGCGACCCCTGATCCAGACAGTGTGAGTGGATCACCGAACGAGTCGATCTCGCTGTATACGCTTGTCATCCAGGGAGGGAAGTAACCTTATCGAATGCGTATTGTGGCATTTTAGCGCCTTATCTGCGACAAGGTCGCTGTCGCTCTCGACTCACCATGGTGTTCGAGACTTTAGTCAGTGATCTCTTGAACAGGTTCATAGGAGATTATGTGGAAAACTTGGATAAGTCGCAGCTCAAGATTGGCATATGGGGAGGTAAGCGTTTATTCGTCAAAACTGTCCGTGTACATTAGTTCAACGAAACGCTTGTTTTCTGCTCTGGATTGTTGTCTGCTGCAAAACGTTCTGTATCGACATGCAGTGCAAGTTAGATGTAAATGTACTGCAGTCTCCATTAATGTCTCTCGTGCTGGATTGGTTTCTGTTCTGTAAGACTGGCGGTAGTCTGTCAAGTTGCTTGCCCCAAGGAGTCGTTCGGAGGCGATGAAAACATAATTTTTGACCGTTTAACGTTACTTTCATTATTTTTAGGGTTTCCGCCTTTATTGTGTAAAAGGATTTCAGTCATCATCATCAGTACATTTCCGTTTACATAAATATTACATGAGACAGTTGTCTTATAGATAAGACAGAAAATGGTTCCCAATAATTAGCTGAGCATATGAATGGACTGTCAGTATTGCAAACACTGCTGTGCTGTTTGTTCTGCCCTCACAAACAAGTCACTCTTCTCCAGGCCAGATGACTTTGCATCTAAAGTAAAAAAAAACCTGTTGTGAGTTGATTATTTCATCAATAATTTAAAATTTTTGTTTAATGTTTCCAGTGTCTGTACTTTTCTCTCTAGTCTATTATAATGATCTATGAATGTGTAGAACCATAATGAAAGCTGTTTCATGTGTTTTGAACAACTATATTGAATGATTGTACTAAAACTACAGAGTGAAACTGGGTATCTTGTGTGTGGGTGATCTAAAGTAATGTTCCTATCATATTTCATAATAAATGAGTTTTTTGATCCAATGCTTCTGCAAATGCAAGGCTTCTTTAGAGATATGAATGCAATATGCAAAGTTTTGAACATTGGACAGTCTTACAAATAATGACTGTTTTGAGTTTTGTGTCTAGAGTTTTGAAAAATGACATGAAGGTTCTGTTATTTGCGCAAAAACGATTGTAAAAAACTGTAATAGATGAGGCATTAAACTGGCCTCCTGACATTCTGTTGTAGTTAATTCCCCACCTTAATCGTGAATTCATTGTTTAACTAGCCGTCCTGCTTATAACACAGTAATCGCAGCGACCCCTGATCCAGACAGTGTGAGTGGATCACCGAACGAGTAGATCTCGCTGTATACGCTTGTCATCCAGGGAGGGAAGTAACCTTATCGAATGCGTATTGTGGCATTTTAGCGCCTTATCTGCGACAAGGTCGCTGTCGCTCTCGACTCACCATGGTGTTCGAGACTTTAGTCAGTGATCTCTTGAACAGGTTCATAGGAGATTATGTGGAAAACTTGGATAAGTCGCAGCTCAAGATTGGCATATGGGGAGGTAAGCGTTTATTCGTCAAAACTGTCCGTGTACATTAGTTCAACGAAACGCTTGTTTTCTGCTCTGGATTGTTGTCTGCTGCAAAACGTTCTGTATCGACATGCAGTGCAAGTTAGATGTAAATGTACTGCAGTCTCCATTAATGTCTCTCGTGCTGGATTGGTTTCTGTTCTGTAAGACTGGCGGTAGTCTGTCAAGTTGCTTGCCCCAAGGAGTCGTTCGGAGGCGATGAAAACATAATTTTTGACCGTTTAACGTTACTTTCATTATTTTTAGGGTTTCCGCCTTTATTGTGTAAAAGGATTTCAGTCATCATCATCAGTACATTTCCGTTTACATAAATATTACATGAGACAGTTGTCTTATAGATAAGACAGAAAATGGTTCCCAATAATTAGCTGAGCATATGAATGGACTGTCAGTATTGCAAACACTGCTGTGCTGTTTGTTCTGCTTTGTTGCATTTGTGCAAGTAAAGCTCAATGTGAGGGGTGGACCATACCTTCCTTCATAGATAATGATAAGTTTAATCATGTCATTAATTTTCCTTAAAAAAATGGAAGTGCTGACCTTACTCTGTCATACATTCAAAATGTCTTGGAAAAGTTAAAATTGAGATTAAATTTTGTTATTGACCAAATACTTATTTTCCACCATAATTTGCTAATAAATTCTTTAAAAATCCTACAATGTGATTTTCTGGATTTTTTTTCTCATTTTGTCTCTCATAGTTGAGGTATACCTATGATGAAAATTACAGGCCTCTCTCATCTTTTTAAGTGGGAGAACTTGCACAATTGGTGGCTGACTAAATACTTTTTTCCCCCACTGTATATGTTTGGAAAAACCTAGGGCACTATATTACTACAACTTTATCTTGATGACCCATATCCCCCTATTACTCCTATCATCACTAATGACATTTTAGAGTTAAAGTATGTAAACCGTTTACATTGTATAAACTGTTTACATTACAAAATTATTGGTCATACACAAACACTGATGGGAACATGACCCTTTTATTCTCTTTGTGGTCATGTGGTGAATTTTTAATGTTTGCAGGTTTATATGCAAATATGTGTGTCCGCTCAGTTAATGTTAGTATAAGTATAGGCTTTGAAAGGAGTCCTTTGAAAAGGAGTCATATCTGTTGTGTCGTTATAGTCACTTTACAGGATGTGTCAAGGCCGGAACAACTCCAACTAGATTCTTTCAGATAAATTCCAAGGATAGTTTGAAACCATGTTCATTAGAATCATAAGAAACATATGGCATGAAAACAAAAATGTACCTCATCTGTTTTTGAAATGCATGTCATAGATCCTACTGTGAAGAAATCATCAATTTATATGTTTCATATTTCATTTTTTTTTCACCTCATAATTTGTAATCAAAATCTCATAACTTGTCAGTGGATCTTACGGTGAAAATGGCAGGATTTTCTCTACTAATGTATGCAGGACTGCTTAACCCCGCCTCTGCAAGCGCACATTCATCTGCCTCAGTTTTAAGTCCACATCTCATAATTCAACCAACAGCCGATGCATAGAACCAAGTCCCTGCCTTCAATTTTCTTTTTTGATAATCTGTTACACTTGGATTTATGCCATAATACAGATCTGTCACCACTTTCATTGCAAAAATGGTCAGCTGTTGTTTAAAATGAGAGAAGGAGAGGAGTAAAGTGCCCTGTTATTCTGTCAGGATGCAGTTTGATATGGTGACATCTTTATCCCAGCATCAGATAGGCTGCTCTGGTGGACATTTATTTCTTTTCTGTGATGCCAATCCAATTATCGTCAGTGTCAAAAGTGGCCAGTCATATCAGGATGCAATTGTTTATGCATTTCATAGTAGCATTTCTCATCTGTGATGCTTTCAGAGTTTCAGATGTTTATATGGATGGCTTTGAGAAAGAAACTACATAATACATGTACAATCTGCAATATACATTATGTAGCATGGATGAAATAAAATGTACAATACAGTCATTTTTATCTTTTCTTTACATTTTGTTTTAGGAAATGTGGTGTTGGAAAATCTGAGAGTGAAAGAAAATGCTTTGGTAAGTATGTTTTGGAAAATATTAAGTTTAATTGCATTTTATCTATTATTTTAATATAGATTTGTATTGTTATTAACATGATGCCATGCCACAAAATGTAGAATATAGTAAAAAAAATGGCTGTATTAGATCAAAAGAGTGCTTCTACTAAATACTGAGCAATTTATATACTTAGGACCATGTTATATTTCAGTTTTTCTTTTTTAATAAATCTGCAAAAATGTCAACAATTCTGTGTTTTTCTGTCAATATGGGGTGCTGTGTGTACATTAATGAGAAAAAAAAACAACTTAAATGATTTTAGCAAATGGCTGCAATATAACAAAGAGTGAAAAATGTAAGGGGGTCTGAATACTTTCCGTACCCACTGTATCACACACTAAAATGATTTATCTTGATAAGAGAAAGTCTGTGTCTGTGTATGTAACACCGTGGTTAGTGGTAGACACGAAAGCATGTGCTGAATCAAGAGTGTGCTAAAACAATGAGATTTGCTGATGTTACCACAACTAAATTGTTATAAATAGAGTTTTAGTATGTATGTGTGCACAAAATGGGATTTCTAATATTGAATTCTTGAAATCTGCATTTCAAACCCATTTGACCAATTTATTCTTATCCTTTAGAGCGAGTTTGATGTCCCTTTCAAAGTGAAGGCTGGTCAGATTGGTGAGCATCCAATTTTCACTTTATCAGGAAAGTTATACTGCAGGGAGCTGTAGCATGTGTACTGTCATGAAAAGGTGTGAAATGTGTAGTTTTCTAATATTCTGGCTTGTGTGTTGGTACCTTGTAACCAAGGAGACTGAAGTAGAAAAAAGTTTCAGTGTTCAGTTTGATGAATTGCACTTCCTATTTTGTGCTGCTCTAGAGAGCTTATGCTGACTGATTGAACTTTGCAGTAACCGTCAAATAAAAGTGATTTTTTTTTCACTGCCTGATGTTTGTTTGGAGAGATCACACTCCAAATGTAATAAAGACAGCTGAGCAGCAGTAAAGCTTGTTGTAATATGAATTTTAAAACAGTAAATTGAAGTTTTCACAGTTTTTTCTCAATAGATTTGAGGTTGTGTTTAAGCAATGTTTCAACAAATACTTCTATTCATGAACAATCACAAAAGAGCTGGAGGTTAAAAATACCATAAGATTAGGCAGGGTGTGGAAGCAATATGACACTGTTATGAAACTTTTTAGGCCTCTTGGACTAGTTAAAATGACTTTGTAAGAATAATCCATTTCAGTGATGTTGTATAAAAGTTGTACTGTTTCAGTAATTCAGCAAACATCACAGCACAGAAGTTTTGCCAATAAATGGGAGCTTGTTGAAATCAGTTTGTTATCACATGATCCAGTCAGATGACTTAAAACATCTGCTAGACAGTGTGCCAAGATGTCAAGCAGTAAAAAAGTAATTGGTTAATAACAAGGACAACATGGTAGTCTGAGTAACACTGTGAAATTCCTTTCATATTTTCTACTTTTTACAAAATCATTTAAAAAAGATCAGTTTGTTCTGCTTTATTAAATGTGCTTGATCAAAAGATATTTAGCCAAAAGGTACCCAGTAAACCTTGATCTGTAATGCAACAAATTCCATTTTTTTTACATTTTATCCACGGGTTTCAAGTGTTGCCCTCATTCTTCAACAAAACTACTTTCCCAACAAGTCTGTCTAGCAAGTCATTTTGAACAAGTCTGGCTCGGAATCTGCATATTCACCATGTTTGTATTGTACTTTACTAATGTGTGTCTTACTTGTAACTGAGACACATGGAATAGCATAATGCTAATGATTTCCAAAGATCTACATTCGTGTAATTCAAGTGCTTTTATCTTTCATATAGTCACACTGAATTGAAAATGTCTGCTTTTAAGGTAAACTGACTCTGAAGATCCCTTGGAAAAACCTGTACAATGAGGCAGTGGTGGCTACATTAGATGGATTATACCTTCTGGTGGTTCCAGGTGCAAGTGAGTGCTTATAGTTTTTTTTTGTTTTCTTATTATGTTCCCTTAATGCAACATGTTTCTTAATGTGGAAGTTGTTTTTATATCTAGCTTGAAGCGCCATGCTATTTATTTCTTGTCACTTTACTACAGTAATTTGTCTACAAAATGCTTTCATTTATTGTTATAACATCTCCTCTTAGAAATTAATTGCATGATTTATTTATAAGCTAGATGGATTCCTGCCTCTTAACTGAGGGGTGTGTCGTGTCTTGCATTATACAACATTTCATTAAACAAAGAAAATGTAATTGTCAGACACAAAATAATGTATACTTATTATAACACATAATATACGATTTTGATCATTTGTAATAAATAATGCTTTTATTAATTACTGTAATAAAAAGCCGTCAGTGACACTTGCATCATTATTATGTTAGACCCATTTGAAAGCTATGTGAGGATGTTATTTTTTGCCAAGTGTTGCAGCAATTTACAGATATATTGAATAACTAAATTTCTTTGATACAGTATATATTTTCAGTATTACTTGGGCTGCTTCAGCTGACATTGTCTTTTACATGTTGCAGCTGAGTCTAAGTTATTTTCCTCCGCTTACAATGGTAAGCCAGGTGTAGAAGGTGGGTAGCAGGGTGGTGGCTTGGGACCCGGACCGTTAAGCTGCTCTTGTGTGTATCTGAATCTTTGATAATTATGGCAAACTTTATATGTACCTTTGGTTACAATGTTTAATCATACAAATACAAGTGTTTATTTGGAGAGCCGTTGATAGCATGTATTGACAGTGTGTCAATCAAGACTTTTGAGTGTTTGTTCAAATTTGGTATTGATCTTAGTAACTTTTTTCCATTCTTTTGGGATCTGCTTTATCTTGTAGACTGATCAATTCTGTATAATGCATGTTCTGTAAGTAAAATGCTGTAAAATGATTTAAAAAAAATTTTAAGCATGAAAGTCTGCTACTTTCTGTCTGTCTCTTGCAATGAAGACAGTCAGCTTCTACCTGCCAATGAAAAGTTGTTGCTGTTTTGAGATATACACAAGCCTTTATCTTTCAACTTTGCTGAAAGATGTGCTGTAAAGATGGATTGCCTCAGAATCATTGAATATGCCCAGTATAGTGCAATGTCCTGTAAATTCACTAATATTATCCATAACACCATAAATAGGTGCATAATCTTGAAATATTTATATTCTGACGTAACATGAGTCTTCATACTTTCTCATGTTTTTATTCTTTACTACTACTATTATTATTATGCCTCTTGTTGTATTTATATGTGTGCACTCAAAGCTTCAATACCAAGAAAAACTTCTGTGTGCTTGCACACTTGCCAATAAAGCTCTTTCTGATTCTGATGAATAGACTGTATATCTTAATGGATTAAATTGCCTCAGGAATTCCAAAGACCCTTTTGGTCTCCATAGACCAAAAATAACAAGTGGCATTTTCTTTATATGACATTGTTTGTTTGATCTTCATACCTGTCTCTTTTATTACTCTGGTGAAGAGAGATAAACAGTGGAAGCATATACAATAGTAGGCATTAAAGGGTTAGTTCACCCAAAAAAGAAAATTAGGCTGCGTTTTACTCACACCCGAGGCATCCTAGGTGTATATGACTTTCTTATTTCAGAGTTATATAATAATTGTCTTTGATCTTTCAAGCTGTTTAATGCCACTCAGCGGGTGTTGCATTGCTTCAGTCCAAAAGAACTTCAATAAAAATCACCCATCCATAAAAGAAAAGTGTCTCACACGGCTCCGGGGGTGAACAAAGGCCTCCTGTAGTGAATCGATGCGTTTTTGTAAGAAAAATATCCATATTCAAAACTTAATAATCACTTGAATCTAGCTTGCGCTCACTGTTGTAAACCGAAGCAGTTCCGGGGGAATGACGTATGAGGTCGGCTTTGCGCATGCACCGCTCCGAAGTGACGCACACGGAAACACAGCAGTGAGATCAAAACAAAACAACGGTCAAGGATTAGAAGTACAAAACGAGGATTTGTAAAGAATGTCAGAGGATTTCGATATAAGCCAAGAGGAGACTGGTTTTCCTTTGCTAAAGTAAGGAAAAGTTGCTTCCTTTGATCCTGTTAACAAACGTTGGTTTTCACGAGACTCACCGGCGCATGCGCAACGCTCAACTCATACGTCATCTGCCCGGAGCTGCTTCCGTGTAGGACTGTTAGCGCAAGCTACATTAAAGTGATTATTATGTTTTGAATATGGATATTTTTCTTACAAAAATGCATCGATTCGCTACAGAAAGCCTTTGTTCATCCCCCGGAGCCGAGTGAAACACTTTTTTTTTTTTTATGGATGGGCGATTTTTATTTAAGTTCTTTTGGACTGAAGCAATGCAACACCCTCTGAGTGGCATTGAACAGCTTGAAAGATCAAAGACAATTTTTAATGTAACTCCAACTGGATTCGTCTGAAAGAAGAAAGTCATATACACCTAGGATGCCTCAGGGGTGAGTAAAACGCAGCCTGATTTTCATTTTTGGGTGAACTAACCCTTTAAGGTTTTTGTTAGGGATGCACGATATATCGGCCACCATATCGGTATTGGCCCATATCGGCTCATTTTTTCTGTTATCGGTATCGGCCTGATAAGAAAATTTGGCCGATATCTTAAAGCCGATAAATAATGCATTATTTCCTTCAGAGACACTTCAGATGCGCGCTGTTCGTTTGCAGCCTTTTGTGCAATTGTACATTGTAATATTGTGTTTATTTGATGTATACCTGATTTATCTCATATAGAATGCGTTTGGTTAAGTTAAAAGAGCGCTTCAGTTTACCGGTGATCATCTTTAGCTCAGCACACGCAGCTCAAACAGCAGTGCACAACATTAATAACTATGATTGGGAATGTCGTGTATATAACATTCTAATGAGAACATTATTATAATAAAACATTGTGAATTCTTTGGGTTTAGTTGCCATGTTTCAGCGCGTTGTTATGGGAAGAGCGCATCCACAACAGGATCACACATTCTGACTATAGCATGCAATAACTGCGTCATTTTGTACATATATAAGTTGTAATATTATGTTTATGTTGTATTAATATTAATCTCAGGATGCATTTCCTTGAGTTAAATAAGCTGCCAGCAAAACGCTTCAGTTTACCATGTTCATTCAGCTCTTCAGCTTCAGCACGCGCAGCTCAACGGCTGCTATTTAAAACAGTGGTATTAATTTGTTACTTTTTCAAAATCATTGATATATTATTAATAACAACAACCACTTGTATTTTTCTCTTATTATTTTCATCAACAATATGAACAAACGTTGGTTTTCACGAGACTCACCGGCGCATGCGCAACGCTCAACTCATACGTCATCTGCCCGGAGCTGCTTCCGTGTAGGACTGTTAGCGCAAGCTACATTAAAGTGATTATTATGTTTTGAATATGGATATTTTTCTTACAAAAATGCATCGATTCGCTACAGAAAGCCTTTGTTCATCCCCCGGAGCCGAGTGAAACACTTTTTTTTTTTATGGATGGGCGATTTTTATTTAAGTTCTTTTGGACTGAAGCAATGCAACACCCTCTGAGTGGCATTAAACAGCTTGAAAGATCAAAGACAATTTTTAATATAACTCCAACTGGATTCGTCTGAAAGAAGAAAGTCATATACACCTAGGATGCCTCAGGGGTGAGTAAAACGCAGCCTGATTTTCATTTTTGGGTGAACTAACCCTTTAAGGTTTTTGTTTCTCACATGGATTGGTCTGAACCAAATCAGAGGACAAAGCCACAATTAAAATCTTAAGTCTGCTTGAATGAACAGTGGGAAATGGTCATTGTAAATTACTTTTCTGTTATTACATGGTTGACTGAGCTCCCAGTGTTTGGTTTTCCACTGTACATTTATGGGTATGACAAACGCAATGTTAGGTGGCAGTAGTGAAAACAGATTAGTAATAAATTAAAGACTTCTGAGGTGTTAATGATATAAATGGTATCTTTGATGTTTGTTTACCTCTAACTGCATGTGTATTGTGTGTTTAAAGCAATTAAATATGATCCCGTTAAAGAAGAGCGTTACCAGCAGGAGGCCAAACAGAAGGAGCTTCAGCGCATTGAGGAAACCCTGCAGCTGGTTGCACGCAGAGGTGAGGAACCCCTTGTCTGTTTGTATGCGAAGGACGTAATGCTTTCTTGACCTAGTACATAGTCAACTTTTGCATTAAAATTTGCCAGTTCTCTTTTTATGCTCTCTGTACAATTCATATGCAGTTATTGAGAGTATAACTATTAATGGGTGTTCATCATTTCATTTAATCCCATCCAATCATACCATAATCAGTCTGTTTCAACTTCATTCATCATTCATTCCTCCATTTATTTGAGTTTGCACATTAAATCTGCATTGTATCAGACTTAAATAAAAATCGCCCATCCATAAAAAAAAAAAGTGTTTCACTCGGCTCCGGGGGATGAACAAAGGCTTTCTGTAGCGAATCGATGCGTTTTTGTAAGAAAAATATCCATATTCAAAACTTAATAATCACTTGAATCTAGCTTGCGCTCACTGTTGTAAACCGAAGCAGTTCCGGGGGAATGACGTATGAGGTCGGCTTTGCGCATGCACCGCTCCGAAGTGACGCACACGGAAACACAGCAGTGAGATCAAAACAAAACAACGGTCAAGGATATAGATTTATCGACCAACATATCGGTTATCGGCTTTCAAAAATAAAGAATAATCGGTTATCGGTATCGGCCAAAATTTTCATATCGGTGCATCCCTAGTTTTTGTTTCTCACATGGATTGGTCTGAACCAAATCAGAGGACAAAGCCACAATTAAAATCTTAAGTCTGCTTGAATGAGCAGCATTAGACTGTAGCTACTTATAAGCCACAGTTCAAACAGTGGGAAATGGTCATTGTAAATTACTTTTCTGTTATTACATGGTTGACTGAGCTCCCAGTGTTTGGTTTTCCACTGTACATTTATGGGTATGACAAACGCAATGTTAGGTGGCAGTAGTGAAAACAGATTAGTAATAAATTAAAGACTTCTGAGGTGTTAATGATATAAATGGTATCTTTGATGTTTGTTTACCTCTAACTGCGTGTGTATTGTGTGTTTAAAGCAATTAAATATGATCCCGTTAAAGAAGAGCGTTACCAGCAGGAGGCCAAACAGAAGGAGCTTCAGCGCATTGAGGAAACCCTGCAGCTGGTTGCACGCAGAGGTGAGGAACCCCTTGTCTGTTTGTATGCGAAGGATGTAATGCTTTCTTGACCTAGTACATAGTCAACTTTTGCATTAAAATTTGCCAGTTCTCTTTTTATGCTCTCTGTACAATTCATATGCAGTTATTGAGAGTATAACTATTAACGGGTGTTCATCATTTCATTTAATCCCATCCAATCATACCATAATCAGTCTGTTTCAACTTCATTCATCATTCATTCCTCCATTTATTTGAGTTTGCACATTAAATCTGCATTGTATCAGTTTATTGCTTCAGCCGATGTTGTTTTTGCCTGTTTTAAGATTTGGATCATCTTCTAGCACTAACTTAAAAGGATAACAATGTAATATGGCAAACATTTTAAACCTTTACGAGCACTTTCTCTTTAACAGGACATATGAAGTGAGTTGTATGTAACGATATTAAAGCTCTGTGGAAACAGCATCCCAGAAGTCCCTATTATTAGGAGCTCTTCTTCCTAATTGAAACTGTGTTTTTTCTATAGCAGATTCCATAATAAATATTCTATCTTTTATACTTAACACTATATTGTTATGATGTTCAAATAAAACTATAACAGTACTATTCAAAATTTATTTGGAAAGAAATTAATACTTTTATTCATCAGCAAGGATACATTAAATTGATCTAAAGTGACTGTAAGGACATTTGTAATGTTACAAAATTTGTATTTTTTTTTTTTAAATAAATGCTGTTCTTTTGAACTTTCAATTAATTGAATAATTCATAATTTCATAATAAATCATTCTTTCTTAAATCCCAAATCAGCATATTAGCATGATATCTGAAGGATGATGTGACACTTAAGACTGGAGTAATGCCATCAACTTTGCCATAATTAATTACATTTTTAAATATATTAAAATAGAAAACAGTTGTTCTAAATTGTAATATTTCACAATAATGCTGTTTTTACTTTTTTTTTTTATAGATTTATTATATCACCCATTTATCTGTCAATGGCCTCAGTATAAAAATTATTTCAGAACATCAGTTTAAATATGAGTTCATCCCTGCATTAATTCCAATATTTATTCATATATCAACTAGGGGTGCGCCGATCCGATATTCAGGATCGGTATCGCTCCGATACTGGCATTTTCTGCTGGATGGGGGTATCGGTCAGACGAGACCGATCCAAATCCGATTTAGTGTCTAAAGTGACTGTAAGGACATTTGTAATGTTACAAAATTTGTATTTTTTTTTTTTAAATAAATGCTGTTCTTTTGAACTTTCAATTAATTGAATAATTCATAATTTCATAATAAATCATTCTTTCTTAAATCCCAAATCAGCATATTAGCATGATATCTGAAGGATGATGTGACACTTAAGACTGGAGTAATGCCATCAACTTTGCCATAATTAATTACATTTTTAAATATATTAAAATAGAAAACAGTTGTTCTAAATTGTAATATTTCACAATAATGCTGTTTTTACTTTTTTTTTTTATAGATTTATTATATCACCCATTTATCTGTCAATGGCCTCAGTATAAAAATTATTTCAGAACATCAGTTTAAATATGAGTTCATCCCTGCATTAATTCCAATATTTATTCATATATCAACTAGGGGTGCGCCGATCCGATATTCAGGATCGGTATCGCTCCGATACTGGCATTTTCTGCTGGATGGGGGTATCGGTCAGACGAGACCGATCCAAATCCGATTTAGTGTGTATACTATTCTGTGTTATTATTAAGCCCCACGAAAGCCACATAAACATTATAAAGCACAATAAAGTTTTCGTGCGCTATATTCCAAGTGTTCTGAAGCCGTTCCATAGTTTAATGTGAGGTACAGATGAATATTTAGGTCAAGTTGACGTAAACTCTTCTCTCCGCTGTGTCTGACAGTCTGTCATCCTCCATTCAGCATTCAAACTGGCGTCGCGTTCAGTTATGACAGTCAAGATGCTGAAACTCTCTCCAAGGTGATTAAATGTTCCTAATGTGATTAAACTCTCTCCAAGATGATTAAATGTTCCTAATGTTATACTTGATATGTAAATTAAAGATAAGTGGTTTCGCATAAAAGGAATATCTTGGAGTTTCATGCTGTTTCTAAATCGTGTAAATTTCTACTTTCTACTTTCTACTTCTTCTGCTTTGAACTTCTTTATGCGGAGCGCTGCGCTCTGTGACGCCGTGTTGCTTCAAGCGCATCATTCTGCGCACAGGATGCGCATAAGCGCTTTGTGCCGCTCTGTATTTGGAGCCTTTAGTATTATAATACTTTTGCACAATGAACGATTATTAATAGCCTTTCTTGTTCGTCTTATCTATCATATGTTGCTGCCTCATTACTCTGCTATACATTTAAAATAAATGTCTTTTAATTTATACAGTAGTCAACATTTGAAGTGGATCAGAAAAGTTAATCAAAGTTGTCCTAAGATAAGAAAAGCTGTTGTTTTGGTTTTAGGACAACTTTGATGAAAGTTTTTGATCCACTTCAAATGTTGACTACTATAGTATATATTTATATATAAATATATTACTTGTTTTTCATGAATGTATTTCACAACAATACAAAGAGCAATGTGTAGGCCTACCAGATTTAGTCCAACACTTATTAAATTTTTTTTGTTACCCACTAAATAATGTATATTTTTTCACTAAAAGTTTAGGATTTTATAAAAAATTGTGCACTCATGATTTTTCTAGAGTAACTTTTGCTACTGAATTATCCATTAACCTAGTTTATAATAGTATTTTTGTCATAGATTATGATTATATATTTTTTGTTTGTTATTTTTCTTTGTAATGAAACTGTCTATATTTAGTAGATTGTGTGTAACATATAAAAACAGAGCGATGATCGACTTACACTTTGATGTATAGAAATTCTACACTGATTTAAAAAAACTGCGCTGGTATCGGATCGATATCGGTATCGGCAGATACTCAGGATTTTTGGTATCGGATCGGTGGGTATCGAGCCATCCCTAGTATCAACCCACCCATCCATCCATCCATCCCTCCGTCCGTGCCATCCATCCATTCAGATCTCTATCTCTAACAGCTGTGTGTGTTTGTTTTGTGCTGCATCTGATGGACGGCAGGCTCTCAGGCTGGAGAGTTTGTGTTTAATCTGGAGAGTTATGTGTATAAGAATCCACCACAGGGTATGTACAGACCCATTCCTATAGCAGGCTAGTCATACGCCCATCTCAAGGAGACTTTTTTTTATTTATTTGAAAGTGTGCATTGAGGGTGTATATGTGTAGACATTTTTTTTCTTCCCCACTACTTGGTGTGCTTTGGTGCAGTTCTATGTTTGTTTAATCCAAGTGTGTGTGTTTATTGCTGCACTAGTTCTTTTCTACCTCACCAACTTTTCTCTCTCTCCCAATGCTGCACTCGGTAAGACAAAGGACGTAAGCTTAAAAAGCGTAAAAAACCCTTTAGGAGATCTAAAAAGTATGAACATAAAGCAGGTGGGTGGCCCAGGGAGACTGTGAACGACTGTGATCGTGGCAAATATGAGCAATATTTTAAATAGCTTTATTCTGTTTGTTGGACTAAATATGTTTGCATAAGTATTAGATTGTATAAGGCATTAGAATGACAAATCGGATGGAGTTATGATAAACCCTTTGTGTTTACTAAATAATTTTTAATTTCAGAGAAGCCCCAGGAAGAAAAGAAGGACACATTTGCTGAGAAACTGGCTACACAGGTTATCAAAAACCTCCAGGTCAAAATCACCAGCATTCACATCAGATATGAGGATGATGTAAGTGTTGACTCTCCATACAGCTCAGCTTTTGAGTTATGTGTATTTTTGAACCTATGTGTTGCATATTAATGAAGATTTGTGTAATTAGATGAGATGTTTTCATTTTCCATCTGTGCTTCAGGTATCAGATCCTCAAAGACCTCTTGCTATGGGCATGACTCTTTCAGAACTCAGTCTACAGGTGCTCTTTCAAAACATTCATATAAATGTCACAAAATGAAGACCACTTGCAATTACGATTAATATGAAATGAGCAGTTCTTATTTGCATGCTCTGGTCTTTCAGTACGTCCTCAGTTTTTCTCTCTTATAGACAGCAGATGAGAACTGGAAGCCTTGCATTCTGAATGAAGCAGCCAAGATCATCTACAAGGTAAACAACCAGAGAATATGTCTTATTTTCCGTAATAATAATAATAAGATCTCATAGTACAGCTGTGGTTGTGTGTCTAACGTGTCTGTATGTATCCTCTACATAAGCTGGGCCGCCTGGAGTGTTTTTGTGCCTATTGGAATGTGAACGGCCCAATCTTCTACAGAGGCTCATGGGAAGAAATAGTGGTAATGTGCTTTTTTTCTCTCTAACAGCTGAGCTCTAAAGTGTTGTTTAATTGAGATTTTCATAGTATTGAAGACGTACTATGTTGTCCTCAGGCATTGTAAATGGTGCACCATATTAAAAAGTTTAAAAACTGATCTGTCATCATTTACTCACCCTCATGTTGTTTCAAACCAATAAGACTTCTGTTCATCTTCGACACAAATTAAGCGATTTTTAATGATAGATTTCTGTGCCTCTGAGGTCCATTACACCAAAAATATGATGCTTCATAAAGACGTTGTAAAATTAATCCATAGGAATAAAGTGGTTTAATCCATGCCTTCTGAAGAGACACAATCGCTTTATATGATTTAATTTAGGGTTTTATTCACATATAAACATTCAATAACGCATATACATCAATGCACATAAAGAGCACATCAAATTGGTCACCCACACTTGCTTGATGCACAATAATCAATGAGGTTTGTTCTTGCAAGTATGATTGATCTTCCATTTACCATATTTGATGTGCTCAATGAATGTGTGCTGATCAGTGTTGTAAGGGAAACAGGTCAATTTAACTCAAAGGGAATAAATTATAGTTTTATAGGGAATTTAAACAGAATCGCTGTTCTGCGGTTGATCACTGAGTCGGCCAGCGATTCATTGAACGAGCCGTTTAACATCAACTCTGCAATGGATATTCAAATCCAAAATATAGTGAAAACACTTAATTAGCACAGTAACAAGATCAGCAGTTTAAGATATTAACTTGTAAGCACAAAACACAAGATACAGGTGCATCTCAATCAATTAGAATGTCATGGAAAAGTTCATTTATTTCAGTAATTCAACTCATTGTGAAACTCGTGTATTAAATAAATTCAATGCACACAGACTGAAGTAGTTTAAGTCTTTGGTTCTTTTAATTGTGATGATTTTGGCTCACATTTAACAAAAACCCACAACCCTCTTCTAAACTCATTCTTTCCTCACTTTCTCTCTTTCTGCAACCTGTGTGAATGCATGTGTTTATGTGTTAGATTAGGTTACATATAAAAATATGAAATCCCAAGTTTATAGCAATATATGCAATTGCATAGACCTGAACAACCATCAATCATCTAATTAACCCTCACATTGAGTCTCTCAATGATGCTATAAACTTTATATTAAATGCACCCGTTCAGCTAGAATCTGGAGGTTGTACTTGTGTTAAGGGATTCCCTTTTGTTGTAGTAGTTGCAGTAAGGGGTTTCCCAAGGTTGCTGATTGGCTGGAAGTTCAGTGGTCGTTCGTAGTGAAGTCAGGGATTGGCTGAAGTTGCGGAGTTGTGGGCTGGTTGAAGTTTTAGATGGGCATTCGAGGTCGGACTCGGAGACACAGCGTTGCGGCAAAACTTAACTCAGAACACGAAACTCTCAACGGAAAAGAAATTAAAGTAGAAGCCAGCAAGAAGAGTGATGAGACTAGATGGCGTTTCTTCTCATGGTTTTAGAGGAGCAGCTGGCGTGTAAGCCAGAGCACACTCAAAGAACGCTAAAAAGCAGCATCAAAACTAGGGTTGCAAAAAGGTGGAAATTTTCCAGTAAATTTTGGAAATATTCCAGAAATTTGGGAAACTTTCCAGGATTTTTTGGAATATCCCAGGGATTTTTGGAAATTTACCAGAAATGTTCCACACCTTTGCACCCCTAGTCAAAACGCGGTGGCAAAAAGGCAAGAAAAATCATAATTTAATGGTGTCCTGTGTATTTAAACATGGCGGTTGGACACATCCCAAATGGTGTCTTGACCAATTAGACATTGTCTTAGCTCGGGGTGTTGCTATGTTTCTCCTCCCAATACATAAATCAACCTGTTATCTTATGAGTCACATGATCCGAATTTTCCCGCTCTTGTAGAGTATAATTTGAACATGATTTCTATAACAAGAATATAATACATTTGACAAAGATTTGATTGGAAGAAACGTTTCAAGCAAGAAGATTCAAACCCACACCTACTAAACATGAATATGAACCCATAAGCTATTCAATAGTTATTAAAAATGCATACACAATGAGTGATTAGAACATTATAGACAAATGTGTGGGTTACATACTGTACATGCTATGAAGTTATGCAATGGACTGATGTTCATTTATAAGCCCTTTTAAGATGATTTTAGATGCATCTACATATGTAAAAGACAGTCTCTCTGTCGTTCTGTGAACGTGAGGGTGTGCTTTGTGAGGAACAAAAAGGTCAAAAGGTCTAGAAGGAGCCTGGTCTTTGTCCTGGGTGGGGGAAACCTGTCCGAGGAAGTGTAGCTCATGATTTCTATCATGGATTTACATGTGATGGTCAGCTGTGCATCTCTTTGACCATTTATCTTGGTTACTTGCCCCAAATTTGATAAACTCCTTCCTGAGTTGGGATTATCAATAAGTGTTCTTTTGTGTTAATGTTGCAAGCTGTTCTGTGAAAGAGCTGGTTGGTTAGGCTTGCCTCAGACTGGCTGGCGCTAGGATCTGGACAGATTTATGATGTTGTCTTGTTATCCTGGACCTCTTTGTGGAATTTGGCTCTTCGGGTTGTTCAACACCAATCTGATCAAATCTTAAATGGTCTGATTCACTCTGATACCCTACAGTGTTTATAACAGTGTAAATATCCCAGTTTTCATTAAAGGGGTCATATGATGTTGCTAAAAAGAACATTATTTTGTGCATTTGGTGTAATGAAATGTGTTTATGCAGTTTAAGGTTCAAAAAACACATTATTTTCCACATACTGTACATTATTGTTTCTCCTCTATGCCCCGCCTTTCTGAAACGCTTTGATTTTTACAGCTCATCGGTCTGAAAAGCTAGGTGTGCTCTGATTGGCCAGCTATCCAGTGCGTTATGATTAGACGAATACCTCAAGCGTGTGACGGAAAATTTCGCTTTCACAACGAAACACAGCGTCACACACGGCGGCCTAGAGTGAGCGGCGGCAGCCTAGAGTGAGCAGAGGCGGCGCGCTTGAGAGCGGCGCGGCCAGCGGATTCGACAAAGGAGCGTCCGGAGGGCTTGCGGCAACAACATGTGATGACCCTGGGTTGGACTCCGCTTTGTCCACGGTGAAAGCCGATCTGGCGATTCACAGCGCAAAGTTGTTGTATTTCCTCAGCGACCTGCACGGATCAGCTCTAGGCATGACGAAGCGGATATCGTCCTCTTTTGGAAGGCCAAACAAAGAAGTTTCGCTTTCACAACGAATCACACAGTGCCTTCACGACATGGCGGCGGCGGCGGCAACAACAATACTACAGCGAGAATAAAAGTTATGCCTTCTTTCTTTGCGTGAACATTTGGGTGGCGTTATGCAAATCTTCCCACATAATGACGTAGATATGTGGGGACGTGTTAGAACAAGCCGTTTTAGGTAGGCGTGGCTGACTCTTAATTTTTATAAAGAATATCTCTTTGGATTTGAGACTTTAGTCTTTGCAACTTTACAGATCTTCTTTATGCACCAAGAGCTTGTAACACTCCAAAGAGAAAGGAAAAATTTAAATTGCATCATATGACCCCTTTAAAATATTTTCATTTGTGTTTTAAATATGAATGAAAATCTTACGAAATGGAGCAACACGAGGGTGAGTAATTGATAACAGAAATATCAACTTACCCTTTCATTTAGAAGAAACACAAGAAGTAAGTATAAATTGCTTTTTTTTAACCTGTTATACCCCGTAGATGCAAGGAAACAACCCACCTGCTTCTATTTGTGTGTGTACATGTACAGACAAAGTGTGGGAAGATCTGAAGGTGCTTACAGACAATCAGTACAAAATGTTCTTTAGTCAGTGAAGGTGTATTTTAAAAAGCTTACTATTTAAACGGGTTAGCAGTTACATTGCAAGTACTAGAAAGAAACACATGATAAAACATAATAAAAGTTAATATGTATTAATATTTTATAGCTTGATCACTATTCATTTATGATCATATTAGGAACTGATATAGTTTATTGTAAACAGCTATACTGAAAATCTTTCATCTTGTTGATGTAAACTCGGCTGCTGAAAGCTGTAACGGTTAATTTGTCAGTTTGAGGACTCTTAAACTGGAGGCATCTGGGTAAACATTTGACTTATCTCTCATCAAGGCTTGTGACATCCAAGTACAGCAGTAATGGTTGAGCTTGTGTAGCTCCTAGCACTTTTAATCTCTCATACTTTTAATCTCTCTCTATTTACCTGTTAATCTTTCTTAGTCTTTTAAAGAAGCAAAAGACCTTGCTCCCAGTGGTTTTTGCACTGCCTCAACTAGATAACAGACATGACTAACTATGTTCTGCACATGCTCTCTATCTACTATATCTATCCAGGCCTGAATGTGCTGCCCAACCGATATTAAAACTTTTTAATAAATACTTTATTAAATAAACATCCAAACTGATCTGGTCCATCTTCTACTGTGTATCTTAAATGAGTCAATAAATAAATAAATAGGTGTATTTATGGTTGAGCAATGTGTAGAAATATCTGTGTCCTAAAATGAGCTCGAAATGGGTTTCAATACCTTGCAGATTGTATCTAGTTAGCTAAGCCAAATGGTGTATAGCACTGTGACTGTGGTTTCTGATGCACATCCCTGTGTGTTTGAGAGTGTAGTCTGTATAATCTGTGTGGGGGATTTTATTCTTACTGGCCAAGAGGATATACTCACTTTTGTAAGAGGCACATACTGAATTAATATTGTGCTGCATAAAGATGAGAAAGCTGTCCACCTCATTGTGTGTGGATGGCTTTTCAGAGACATAAAAATAAGATTTTTTGGGGCCTCTACAACATGCATATCTCTGTGTATGTATGTGGAGTCCAAATGTCTGAGACCACATTAAAAAAATAAAAAACATTATTTTTTTATTATTTAATCCTGGAAATAGATTCATCAAATTTGTGACAAGCACAGGGTCTCTTTGAAGTATTGGATTATTCTCAAATCATGCTAGATAACATGATCATCACATTTTACACAAACCTTTGCAGAGGTGTAAAGTGTTGGAGTAAATGTAATTAGTTACTGTACTTGAGTATGTTTTCGTGTACTTTGTAGTTGTACTGAGTATCAAAGATATTAGCAACATTTACTCTTTACTTCACTACATTTTTGAATGAGTATCTGTACTTCTTTACTTGAAATGAGTGATGCAGTTACACATTACATTTTGCATGGACCTAGCTTTTTCTGCAGTAGTTTATTTCTGCTACAAAAGACGTGATACTGCCTATTACAGGTCACTGAAAGTACTGCGTTTTGCCCTTACTCACCCAAACTTGTCAACAAGGCTACTTTATGTGAATGCGAGTTCCTTAGCAAGTATTTGTGAATCAGAGGTGTTCTAGGCTGCGTTCCACTCCACTTTTAGACACGCACTCGTGAACTTCCCTACGCACTTCCCCTCGGGGTATCCCCGCTGCCATTTTGAAGTGCATTCCACTTCGTGAAGTGAACGAGGGAAGTTTATATGGACAGACCCTCGATTTTGACCGAGGGAGCGAGTCTGCTTCATATGCACACTTCAGGCCGCTCCATAGACCACAATGCAACACGATTGTGACGTCATCGCAGATCGCGTTTAATTTATCCCCACCTCAAACAACTCTATAATATATAAATAATTTTTTTAACATTTAGAACAGCCCAAACATACCTATATACATATAGAATGCTGCACCAAAAAATTCATAAGGGAAAACAATAAACAATAAACCAACTCCATAGCTGATTCTAAGTGATCAAGGGCTTAGGATGTTCCAGTTCAGGTTGCACTCATGCAACGTAATCAATGACGTACATCCGAGTAAACGAGACTGAGGGAAGTTTGCGAGTGAAGGGCATAAAAACTGGAAGGCAGCCCTAGATATGAGATAAAGACATAACTGCAGCTGGCGATCAGGCCCAAACCAGCACATCCACTGCAAGAAGGCTTCGGCTTTTTCATTTGACTTAACATTTAATTTATCCATTATACCGAAGAGACCTTTTTGAAATATATTGTTTTTTTGTTTGTTTGTGTTTTGTGTTTTGTAATTTTGAGGTTGTAAGGACCGCGCACGTGGCCCAAGGCTTGCCTCTGCCTTTTTCCCCAGCTTCTTCCAACATGTCTCTTTGACTAGTGCATCTTTGAGCCTATATTTAGTATAAGTAAAATACTTAAGTACTGTTAAAATCAGATACTCTAAGACTTTTACTCAAGTTGTTTTGGAATTGGTGACTTGTAAAGTGTAGTGGAGTAATTTTCACTGTAAGGTATCTGTACTTTTACTCAAGTATGGTTTTTAGGTACTCTTTACACCTCTGAACATTTGCAGTTCGTGTAGCTCTAGTGCTGCTGTGATTAAAACAAATGGGAACACCCTAAATACTGAGAAATTAAAAAAAATTATAATTTCTGAAAGTTTTCAGTTCAACTTTTTTTGCAATGAAAATAAAGGAAATGAAAAAGAAAAGAGAACTCAGACTTTTCAATCTCACTGTGTATGTATATTTACATTTTACAATTTTGAAAAATATATCTCAAAATCACCTTTTTGTGCTTGCAGGACAAGCTGAAAGTGGGAATCAGCACAAAAAATGAGGAACTGCAAGGCTATCAGTACAGTATGTATTTTCTTATTACATATTCTGTATTTTCTTTCTTTATTATTATCTGGCCTGGAGCTGTTTAGTATAGCTTTGTTAGTATGTTTTGGTGTCGTGCTTAACTGAAAGCCTTAAGTAAATATTAAATTGTAAATAGTAAAAAAGTAATAATGATGTATCATCTTTGGCTGTTGCCTACCCTATTGTTTCATACTGTACTTTTGTTGGGTGTGTGTGTGTGTGTTACCTACCACAGGTTCATTTTCAAGTGCTATTTAAACACGCTATGTGATCTCAAACGGTACACATGACACACCTCTTAGCACACTAACTCCAGTAATCACAGAGTGTACTATTTCTACTACAGCCCCATATTTACATGTACTAGTTAAACCACAAATGTCAGTAAGAGTGCCAATACAGCTACATTTAACATGCATATGAATGCACTGAGCTTTTGTCAATGAGATATAATGAAATAATTTTGATGGTTAAAGGATTTATGACCAACTTAGGGTTAGCATTATAAATCATTGCACCCATCATGATGAACTGATTTGTTTCTTTATACAGTTTTCAAACCCATATTTGCTTCTGCAAGGATGTGCATCAACCCTAATGCTGAAGTTGAGCTAAAATCACCAAAAGCAAACCTGCATCTTGAGGTTCAGAACATCGCAATTGAGATGACCAAGCCACAGGTATAACAATATGGCCACCATCATGTGTCTTAAGCATAAACTACCATTCAAAAGTTTGGGGTTAGTAAGTTCTTTGGGTGTTTCTAGTACATGTCTATGGTGGATCTGTTGGAGTCTATAGACTGCATGGTGAAGAATAGCCCCTACAGAAAGTTTAGGCCTGATGTTCCAGTCCACAGAAATGCCAGGCAATGGTAAGTGCATTATGTGTTCATATGATGATGTTTCATATGGCTGATTGATTGGAGCTTGGTGTTTCTAACATGGCCCCTTTGATTGGTCAGGTGGAAATACAGCATCAGCAGTATACTGGAAGTGCATATCAGGCACTTTAACCAGATGTGGGACTGGAACAACATCAAGAAGCACAGGCACACACTTAAGGCTTACAAAGCTGCATACAAAATCAAACTCACACAGGGTAAAGTCCGAGAAGACACGGAGAAACAGATCCAGGTATGAACTATAGATGTTTCAAGACCTTCATTCATCTTCGAAACACAAATTAAGATATTTTTGATGAAATCCGAGAGCTTTCTGACCCTCCATAGACAGCAACGCAACTGACACATTCACATTGTAAGGACATGAGGATGAGTAGTTAATGACAGAATTTTCATTTTTGGGTGAACTATCCCTTTAAATTGTTATGCTGAAATAATTTATAATGATTTTTTAAAATGTATTAAAGGTGGGACTGGAACAACATCAAGAAGCACAGGCACACACTTAAGGCTTACAAAGCTGCATACAAAATCAAACTCACACAGGGTAAAGTCCGAGAAGACACGGAGAAACAGATCCAGGTATGAACTATAGATGTTTCAAGACCTTCATTCATCTTCGAAACACAAATTAAGATATTTTTGATGAAATCCGAGAGCTTTCTGACCCTCCATAGACAGCAACGCAACTGACACATTCACATTGTAAGGACATGAGGATGAGTAGTTAATGACAGAATTTTCATTTTTGGGTGAACTATCCCTTTAAATTGTTATGCTGAAATAATTTATAATGATTTTTTCAAATGTATTAAAGGTGCAATAGGGGATTGTCTTCACAAACATTTTTTGTTATACTGGTTGAAAGTCTCTTCACATCCCGATAGCAATCATTTAAGTTAATTGGTCTAAATGTATTTATATGTATTTATATATTCTGTGGAAGGCGTAGAACCAAGAAATGTTCGTCCAATCAAAACACTCATTCCGAGCATTTTGATTGACTTTTCTACCTGCCTGTCAACATGTGTATTTGCATACCTCTGCGCACCCTGTTCGCGCAGACATGATACGTCATCAATGCGGTCACGTACTCTGTGCAGACAGAGCGAGAATAGCAGGCAAATATCAACAACCTGACCTTCCTGGTATTGTAGTACTTTTACTAACTGTGCTATAAAGTTTTCTCACCGGTGAATGACACATGCTATATTGTAGTAATGTTGTCTCTGGTCGTCTGGTCTGTTCGCGATCATGCGTTCAGGAGGCATGGCTTTGGAGGGGGATTTGCAGGGAGGGTGGGACGTTCGCTCTCAGTGCCATCAGGCTAAAGTTAGCATTTTCCAAGATCTCCTACTGCACCTTTAACATATACTATTTTAAAATGAATTATTAGTTTTTCCTAGATCATTCTTAAATATGTTTTACTATTTGTTTTACATTTATTCATTGTGTTTTTTTGTTTTTCAGGAGCTGGAGAAAGTTCTGGATGTGTTCAACATTGTATTGGCCAGACAGCAGATTCAGATGGAGGTATGACAACATGTATCAAAACCGAAACCATACTGTACTGGTGTTTTTATATTTTTCATCTGGTCTAGTAAGTTGACTTTGTCTCTCCACAGGTGGTTCGGTCAGGACAGAAGCTGGTTGCTAAAAAGGCTGCCACTCAGAAACAAAGTGGAGGAGGCTTCTTCAGCAGCTTTTTTGGCAAGAAAGAAGGGAAGAAGAAAGAGGAAGAGGAAGATAAAGAGCCAAAGAGTGAGTGTTAATCGCTAAAATAATTGTTACGCTATGAATAAATGCAAATTTTTAATGTACATCCATATTTATGTTCATGTACTCTATTTGTACAGATATTGATTCCATCATGACTCCTGAAGAGAAAACGAAATTCTACACAGCCATTGGCTACAGCGGGAGCTCTCATAACCTTGCCTTACCAAAACACGTGAGTGGAAATTACTCTGTACAACTATCTTGTAAAGTCACTGTTGTTCTGCGAAATTAGTGGCCGAAATTAATTAGCAAAATTTTGCTAATGTGACCGCACCTTAACAAAACCTGTTTCACATTGACAAAAAAAAGTCAAATATTGCATATCCGGTTTATCCTGGACGTACAGTATACTCACATGTTTATGCATATTTGTTCTTATGTGCAGTATGTAGCTGTGATTGTCAATTTTAAACTGTTGAGCACCTCAGTAACATTCAGAGAGGAGCCTGGCGTTCCAGAGATCCTCAAAGTGCAAATGATTGACCTCAGTACGTCCATCTCACAGAGACCAGGAGCACAGGCCATCAGGTATGTACAGTATTAAACATATATTTTATATTTGTTGGCCAATGCCAAGTATATATATATAGAGCCATATGTAAAGTATAGGCTTCAGTTGTAGGAAATGTGTGTGTTGTGTAGAGTTGAGGCTAAGCTGGAGCACTGGTACGTGACTGGTCTGCAGCAGCAGGGGGAGGTGCCGTCTCTCATAGCGTCAGTTGGAGACTCTGACTCTTCTCTGCTCAGCGTGCTCTTTGAGCTCAATCCAGAAGACAGCCCTGCTGACCAGCTTCTCAGAGTCCACTCACAGCCTGTTGAGATCATCTATGATGCTGTAAGAGACACACTGTAGTTATGCCTTGATTTCAAAGAGAGCCATTGGTTAAGTGTTTTTGATTAAGTGGATTTTAAGTGCAGCTTTTTTACATTAATTGTTTTATTGCAGTTATTGTAGTTTGTGAATTGTTTGCATAAAATTATTGACAGAAATCACATTCATGTGTCTGCAATTGGTCAGTCCAATCAAATTACATCTTCTGCAGATAACTTCAAACTGACAATTCATATAATAATATAATTATATCATATCATATAATAGATAACATATCATTATATACAAAATATAATATAATAATCTATCTGCCTATTGTACTATATGTATTTATATCTACAAAAACAATTATATATATATATATATATATATATTGTTCTTAATTTAATGTAATAAAATAATATTTATACACGGAAAAATTATTGAGGTCATTTAGATAATTAGTCTAAATATAATCAATTTATTCTTATAATTGTGTATTATTTTGTTCTTAATTTAATACATTAAAATAATACAAGTAATTTATATATTTTTAAATGTAATATCAATATTTAATAAAACATTTTAATATATAAATATTTAGACACTTAAGCCCGATTCGGACTGTAATTGTTTCTCATATGGACGTCTGTAAAAAATCAATTTACGTATCACCTCAGTGATAAAACTCATGGATTCGGATGGCGATTTATTCACAGTGGAGGAGTGAGTTCTGTGATCCTACGAACCCGGGAACGCGCTGCTCACGTGGCCAGTCACATGATTGTCTGCTGTAAATAAAATGAATTTTGTTTACAAATGTATTCTTATTATTATGTAAAATGTATTCTTATTATTTCAAGCATATTTTATAATATATAATCTTATTTATTATTTGATTATTTAAATCTCCTGTTTAAAAATAGACCGCTATAGTTGTATATAATTATACGCGATATATATCTGTTTATAATACACATTTTCAAATTGTATTGCATACCTGCTGCTGCCATAATAAAGACCCATTTCAAATGTTTATGTGCTTTTCTTATCTTTCTGCTCCCAGTCACTGTGGTAGAGCAGTTATGAAATATTGTTCTTTTAAATAGTACTTTCCAGCATTTCAGAAATAAATATGTATGCAAATTACTCTATACAATGTTACCTTACGGTGTTCAGGAATGCTCAAAAAGGGTTTAAACACTGAATTTTGAATCGATTTCTTCTCGTAAACGCCGAGATGTGGATTCGAACGGCAATTAAATTACCACACGACCTTGGTGTTTGTCAAAAAACAGTAGGTAATTCGGCCGGGGATTTTTACGGGAGTGGTAAACCGATATAAAAACACCGACATCCTGGATTCGGACGGCATAAAAATCAACAACTACCCCCTGTAAATGGTGAAAATCACTTGCGAGAAACAATTACCGTCCGAATAGGGCTTTAGACTAAAAATTACTTCAAAGTATTTACTGTTCGTTTGTCTGTTCTGTAGCTGACTGTCATCAGCATCACAGAATTCTTTAAGATGGGAAAAAGAGTTGATCTGGAGGTCCTCACCTCAGCAACACTCAGCAAACTTGAGGAGATCAAAGAGAAGACAGCCAGTGGTAACCCTCTCCTCGTTTCCCATCATCCCCACAGAAATGTTGTCACATTGAGAATGAGTATGTGAGTGGTCATCTTTAACACGTCCCCTTTGTCTTTATCTGAACCCAGGCTTGTCTCACATTATTGAGACACGTAAGGTGCTGGACTTGAGGATCGATCTAAAACCCTCCTACCTGCTGCTTCCCAAGTCTGGATTCTATGATAGCAAATCAGACCTCATGATCGTTGATTTTGGTTACCTGCAGGTGAGGGAGGGAAGGAAAAACATATTTAAGAGGGAACTGTTTCTGTCAATAACGTCTGACTGTAAATATATGTATGTGCATTTAGTTGAACAGTGTAGACCAGGGCAGCCATCAGCAGGTATCTGCCAGTTTCTCATCGCTAGAGGAAATCATGGATAGAGCCTATGAAAGATATTCCTTGGAGCTCCGCAGTGTCCAGATACTCTACAGCAAATCAGGTAAACACAATGCAACACAGGGAAGAAACTAAACTGTCTGCACAAACGATTTCTAACGGCGGCTCTTTTTGAAGGAGAGAAATGGAAAAATGCTCGCGTTAAAGGCTTCACCTATCAACACATCCTGCAACCGATGGACGTCACACTTCAACTTGCTAAATGTATGGTGGACAAAGATTCCCGTATGCCCAGGTTAGCTCTCGCTCTCTGCCGTGTCTCTCTCCTAATCCTCATACATGCACTAAGGTCTGTTCATTTCCAGGTTCAAAGTATCAGGGGAGCTGCCCTTACTTCATGTGAAGATTTCTGATCAGAAGATCCAGGGTGTTCTGGAGCTGGTGGACAGTATTCCTCTCCCTCAGACTACCTCAAGCCCCCCTAGCACCCCCACAGAAAAGGTCAGAAAACACAAAGAAACACAATCTCTCTGTATTGGCTGATGTGTTGCTTTCTCTCACACTTAATAAGTCATGACTCATGAATGGTAGTTTCCTGGTAGGATGCCACAGGTATTTGATACTATTGTCATTGCTGTTTTTTATTTTTTTTGAAAGCCATGAATATTTCAAGCCTGTAAATCTAATCGCAATGTACTTATGGCTTTCATAAGACTGAAGTGCTGCTTGCTTTTATATTTCGTTCCTGAACTTGCTCTTTGAGCGTTACAGTGCAGCTTCAGTCTCCACAGATTACACAACTCAGGAAAGACATTATCCACAATCAGCATCACTGTCTCTCTACCCAATGAGCCCTGTGCTATATCTTATTAGTGAACTTACTGCCTCAACAAGCAAGAAAAAGCCCTTACTAGTTTACTTTGCGAAGCAAATGTTAAAGGATGTTCTAGATATTATCCAGAACATTTAAATAAATATCTACCATTCAAAAGTTTGTGATCAGTAAGATTTTGTTTTAAGAAATTACTTTTGAGTACTTACTGAAAACATTTATTCAGCAAGGCTGCAATACATTAATAAAAATGACTGTAAAGACATGTATAATGTTACAAAAAATATCTATTTGAAATAAATGCTGTTCTTTTGAACTTTCTATTCATAAAAGAATCCTCAAAAATGTATATATATATCACAGCTCCCACAGAAATATGATCATTGATGATAATAAGAAATGTTTCTTGACACTGCATCAGAATGATTATTAGAGTATCATGATTATTCGATTGATTGAAGACTGGAATAATGGCTGCTGAAAATTCAGTTTTACCTTTACAGGAATAAATTACATATATTAAAATAAAATTGTATTTAAATTGTAATAATATTTTAAAGGGGTCATATGATGGTGCTAAAAAGAACGTTATTTTGTGTATTTGGTGTAATGAAATGTGTTTATGCGGTTTAAAGTTAAAAAAACACATTATTTTCCACATACTGTACATTATTGTTTCTCCTCTATGCCCCGCCTTTTTGAAATGCGTCGATCTTTACAAAGCTCATCGGTCTGAAAAAGCGAGATGTGCTCTGATTGGCCAGCTATCCAATGCGTTGTGATTGGCTGAATACCTCAAGCGTGAGACGGAATGTTACGTCCCTCACCATACTGTTGATGCTGTGTCCCGGCCGGAGCGACGAGACAAAAACATTAAAACCCATTACAAACGAGGCATTTGTTGCGTCCAGTGGGAACATAATTACTGATTATAATGTCTTATACTGGCTTTTTACGCGTTGCGTTGCATTGCATCGCGCCGCGTAAACATAAAAC